AAATTTCTCAGAAGACATGAAAATACAAAAAACTCCTCTAGATCTATCAAAGGTAAGTTATAAGGAGCTATCTACGAGACTAATTTTCTCCTCAAAATGAGAGAAAGGAGAAACATCTAAACCTTCTAAAAGTGAGAAGGCAGATAAGGCCATAGACTCATACTTAATAAATCAACTGAGTGAAGGATCTGACAAAGAAAAAGAATCAATAAAAGAATTAAAAAACTCATTGGAGCTAAATAAGCTCTCTTATCAAAGTAAGAAGCCTTATTATCCTAGGGACACCCCCATAGACCTATTATTTGAAGAACCAGCTAAGCCCCAGGTTGGCTATAAGTGAAATACTTTTTATGAGTGGAATTTGGATGAAAATTTTGAATACCAGATTCATGAAATGATACATCATATGACGATGTATGCTAGTGCCAACAAATTGACTGGGAATGATGAAAAGGTAATCGCCACAGTTATTACCAAATCCTTTACAGGACAATTAAAGGGATGGTGGACTCACTACTTGACTAAAGTAGAAAAGGATTTTATTTGAATGTAGTCAAGAGAGACGAAGATGGAGAAGTGGTTTTAAGTCAAGACCAGGATGCAGTCATGACTCCAATTTTGAATATCCTTAGTCATTTTATAGGAGAGTCAGATAATATGGCAGAAAGATTAAGTAAACAATTAATAAACCTTAGGTGTAAAACACTATCTTATTTTAAATGGTATAAAGATGTTTTTTCTTGTCCAAAGTTCATAGACTTACCGACTCCAGACAAAATTATTGGAAGAAACAATTTATCTCTGGCCTTCCTCTGGTATTTCCTGAAAATGTTAGAAATCACCTTCGGAACATAGGAGGCGGTAGAATGCTATATCCTCATTATACCTATGGATATCTGGTCCAAGTAATTAAGCAAGTTGGACTAGACTTGTGTAATGATTTACGCTTAAAAAGGAAAATTAAGAAAGAGAGAACTGACTCTAAAAGAGATTTAGGAGACTTCTGTTACCAGTTTGGAATGGCCCCTGAGCCATCACATCCTAAACCGGTATACAAAAGGAAAAAATCAAAAGTTTATAAAAGGAAAGAAGAGAAGAAAAACAAGAAACCAAATTTCTCTAAAATAAGAGAAAACAAAAGCCCCACTTGTTTCAAGTGTGGCAAAAAGGGACAATACGCTAATAAGTGTCTTAAAAATACAAAAAAAAATTAATGAATTAGGAGAATCTAAAGAAGAATATATATCTGAAAGAGAATCGTCAATCTCTTCAGAAGAATGTTGCGGTAATGGAATATGTACTTGTAAAAATGAGGCAAGCACAAATGAAGAAGAATTAGGGGAAATCAATGTATTAACCTTAGATGAAGAACACCTCTTAGAGATTCTAGATGAAATTCCTGATGAAAAATCAAAGAAAAAGCACCTACTTATGGCCTTCCAAAACAAAGAAAAGGAAAGTAAAGAAAAACCTGAAAGGCCATTCGAAGTAAAAAATATAATCTCATATAGTGAGATTATGAGAAGAGCTCAAGGAGGAACATCTAAGCCCCCTTCTCTGAATGACCTCAAACAAGAGGTTAATGAGCTCAAAAAAGAAATTAAAACCCTAAAAGCCAGGGTTGACCAGTTAGAAGTTGAAAATTTCTTGACGGAACAATATGAAAAATCCTCAAAATTAGAACCCATCGAATTTATTGGAGATGACGGAGAGTTTATATACTCTATTGTGGAAGTCAAGTACCAGAAGTGGTATTCAAAGGTCACCATTAGAATTAAGGATTTTAACTTCTCAACAGTCGCCCTAATAGATTTAGGAACTGACATAAATTGTATCAGAGAAGGCGTGGCACTTTCAAGGTACTTCGAGAAAACTTCTCAACAAGTTAATGCTGCAAATGGTAGGAAATTAGGGATAAAATATAAAATCCCTATTGCCCATATTTGTAACCAAGGAACCTGCCTAAAGTCTACATTTCTCATGGTTAAAGACTTAAGGCAAGAAGTAATTCTGGGCACCCCATTCTTGCTATTCCTCCTTCCTTGCCACATAGACTCTTCAATAATAACTACAACTATAGGAGAAATATCAGTTACCTATAAATTTTGCCAAAAGACAAAAACCTCCAGTATTAACACTCTAAAAGAAAGTTTAAAAGGCAAAGTCAAGTTTATTTCTGAACTACAAACAGAAATAAAAGAAAAACAACTTATTAAGTTGTTAGAAGATCCTAAGAACCAATTAGAAATCGAAATTTTCCAAGCAAAATTAATAAAAGAAATTTGTGTTGAAACCCCTAGCGCATTTTGGCATAGGAAAAAACATGCGGTAGAATTACCGTATGAAGAAGGATTTAGTGAATAAAAAGTACCTACAAAAGCCATACCAATTCAAATGAATAATAGAGTATTATAAATTTATAAAAAGGAAATTCAAGAATTATTGGAAAAATGTCTAATAAGACCAAGTAAATCTCCTTGGAGCTGTCCCGCTTATTATTATTATTATCACAAAACTTCTTCTTTCCTTCCACTTTTTCATATAGTTTTTATTTTACAAGACTTCTACTCTTTGTTTCTCTTTTTCTTATTATCAAAAAAAAAATAAAAAAAAACCAAAGTCTAGATCACAAACTTTGTTAAGTGAAAGGTAAACAATAGAAACACATAAGAGAAGACAATTATTTTATATTTTAACTTTTTAAATAATTAATAGGGAAAATTCCCGTTTAGTACCCTGTACTTTGGGCCAAGTGCCACTTTGGTCCCCTAAACTTTAAAACGCGACAATTCAGCACCCAGACGTTCAAACGTGCCAACTTAGTACCTATCATTAACCAATTGTTAATCAATCGTTAAGCGGCATTTGAAAAGACACAAATGCCCTTCAAGTGTCATCTAATTTTCTTTATCAACCATCCAAATGTTGACAAAAAATGAACAATCCCAAATCTTTGCCTCTTCTATTCAAGAAAGTTGGAGTCACTAGAATGCCTACTAAGACATGACACCAACTTTCTTGAATAGAAGAGAAGGATTTGGGGTGGTTCATTTTTTGCCATCATTTGGATGGTTAATAAAGAAAATTAGATGACATTCGAAGGGCATTTGTGTCTTTTCAAATGCCACTTAATGGTTGGTTAGCGACATGTACTAGATTGGCACATTTTGAAAGTTCAGGTACAAAATTGTTGCATTTAGTTTGGGGACCAAAATGGCACTAGGCCCAAAGTATAAAGTACTAATTAGGAATTTTCCCTAATTAATAATTATTTATATTTTTTATATTATAAATAATTTTTATAATACAAAAATAAAAATAATTAATTTCAATTAGTTCATCAAACCGATGAAACCGGCCAAACCAAGTAACTCAACCTAACTTGGTAGGTTTTCTAGTATTTTCAATCAACTTCGATTCAACAATTCTCCAACTCGACTAGGTCAGGTTAGTTTTGGTTTCACCATTTGTAAACCGACCAAAACCGAACCAACCCGACCATATATATTTTATATTTTAAATATAATTTTTAATACAAAAAAGTGGAAAAATTCCTATATTTCTTGGTCTAAAACATTTTATGTTATGAATTTATTTATTTAATTTATATTTTATTAATACCACTATAATTTGTTAAGTTTAAATTTCATTTTTAAAGTTTAAATCTTTTGAATTGTCTAACCAAACCGAAAACTAACCCAAACCAATACAAACCGAGTTGGTCATTTTCACTAATGGTTGGTTGACCAAACAACTTGTAACCGAACCAAATTGACTCATAAACACTCCTTACTCCTCAACTAAATTAACAATCTAATCTCTAATAAATAATAGTTTAATCACCAATAATTATTGAAAGTTTATAACAAAAAACACAATTATTGATAATGAATTTATAATAAAAATACAATAGATAACTAATAAAATACAATAAATTCTAAAAATATATTAAATTAGTCAATAAATAGTGTAATCTTCAATAATAATTTAATCTCTAATGAATATTAATAAAAAATTTATAATGAAAATACATAATTGCTAAAAATAAATTTATAACAAAAATACAATAAGTACCATAAACTAAATTCAAAAAGTTAAACAATAGTTTAATCTCAAATAATTATTGAAAATTGTCTATTCCATAACAAAACAAAATTATAGTTATACATAATTATTGAAAATATATGTATCAAAAAATATAACAAATAATTACTAAAAGTATACATAATTTCGTTATGAATTTCATAAAAGTATAAAATTATTAATAATATGAATATTATTAAATCTATGATTTTTTGTGTTTTAATAAATATTTTAAAGTTATTACATAATTTCATTATAATATTTAAATAATTCTTAATTTTTTTAATTCAAACTTTCTTTTGATAGATATAGATGAAAAATGGGATATAGTAGAGCCACTTGGCTAGATTAGATTAGATTAGACTTTGGTAAAGAGAGATTTTATGAATAGTTTTAGACTTTTAGGAAGGGATATCCAAAAGGATAAACATAGAAGAAAGAGAGATGGGCCAGGCATACTGAGATTTCAAAATGAGAGGGAGAAGAGAGTGATGAGGTGGCTTTATGAGGGAGCAAGGCAAGCTAAAATGAGGGACTGAGAGTTCTGGTTAGGGTAAGGGAGAAAGCTCGGGCCATGATGTGACATGTTTCTACTTTAATATATAGATAGATAGATTGATAGATAGATAGATAGATAGATAGATAGGTTTATTTACATCCAGGATCCATATTCCCATTGCCCAACCCAGGTATTATGGGCCCATCTAAATCCAAACCCAAGCTTAAACATACAAGACAATTGGAGAGCTCTTGCACAATTGCAAGTGATCTGACCAACATCGGAGAAACAGGAACAAGGAATTTCCCCTACAAATTTCGCGCTTTATCTTTTACAGATCGGTAGCCCATGACTGTTAACTAAACAGTTAACTAGGCCACGATCAATTCACCAATAATACAAAGATATACAGGAAATATAATTCAGTACAAAGAATCAATTCTTACGTGTGTCACAAACGTATACAGGTTGTTCATGTTGTCGAAAGATGAGGGAGAATGAACACAACTACGCCACAGAAAATAAGAGAACAAATCAGATAGACAGAATGATATGCACGTGTAGCCATGCAATAAAAACACTCAACAACCTGCAAGCTAAAATGTGACAACAGAATACAGAGATCCATCAAATAAATACAGAAGGGGATTTTGTTCTGGTTTTCTGCAGAGGAGATGCAGGTTGGTGTATTCCCCATAGATGTTAAAGAGATGGAAGACAACGTGTTAGTAGTCCTGGTTTCAAAAAAACAGAAGTGATGCAAGGAGCATCCCCAGTGATGATAGGAAGACACAGGTGGTCCTTCGTGGCTGTCCACTTGGCTTTGGTGAGGTTGGAGATGCAGCAGCAGTCCCACTTGATGTATTAGTCTTAGCAGAAGGAAATGGAGGCTCTGCTACATTAGAATCTTCCAGGACTGGATTTGGGGCCTCAGCTGGGGGTAAAAAGTCAGGAGTAATGACTTGCATGAGACTACCAGGCTGAACAGGAGTCATGTAAATTGGTATATTCTTGCCCATACCCAAACATCGGTTCTCTGCATTAACATGAAGCAGCACCACATTAATGACATACCAATCTTGAACTTGTAAATTACACTGCATAATACAATTGGCAGGATGTACCATTATGGAAGGAACAAATACACCACAATGGATGTATGTTGTACAAATTTTTTATGATTGAATAAAAATATTTTTTGGAAACATTACTAGCACAATGACAGCATTAAATTTGATGCAAAGGCTAAAACAGAAGAATCTGATTGGAGTAGGATAGAACTTACTTCTGTAAGCTGCAGCAGTCCCTGGGAAGTCAGAGATGATTCCATCTATTTTACCTAATGTAACAAATGTATTGATCTCAACAGTTGGATCTGAGAAGACGTCCCATGCTTGAGAAACAAACTCATTTCTGAATAGATATACATAGGCGGTGAGGTTGAATGCCTGCAGTTTTGATACCACTTTGGTCATACCAGTAATGAAGGCCTGATTTACAGGAAATACATTTGACTTGGTGATAGCTACAGAATGTGCAAATCGCTTGATATCCTTGATGGCCGAGTCATCAATATCACTGATAAATTCATCAACACTGTAGACCAACTTGTAATTGGTTTTCTCCATGAATTTCATTAAAACAGAGCTATTGGTGGACTGGATCATAACCTTCTGGTTTTCATTATTATAGCCAGACTTGTTTAAAGCAACAACGACTGCATCTATTACATTGAAACCTAGATTCTCCACAAGATAGGCTGCATGCTGAAGGAAAGGAAAACAAAATGTTGATCCAGCTGAAAATAACGAGTTCTACTTGTATGAATGTAAATGAGGAAGATTCAAGTCAGGATGGGAAGTAGAAAACCTTCCTGGTGCTGCACAGATGCTGTAAATGCATCAAAGAAGGGCCCTGCCACTACAAACATGTGCTACCTAAAAATGAAAAAAAAAAGTGTATTCTCAAGATATTGTACTATTATTCCATGTCATAATTTCCCCCATCCATCAAATCGTCCATCCAAACTCTAAAGCAAATAGGTCACTTTAGAATTTTCAGCCACCAAAAGCTGCCAAGTGAGAGACAGTATGAAGTGCTTCCTCATACACTCCTGCTGCTTGCATGCCCTAGGACTTAAATTTGTAATGGCACCATCCTGACTTGGACATTCCTTATAAAATATATTACCAATTCATAGTTGACTGGTTTCCATTCATATGCATAATATGAATTTACATTGTCTAGAAATTCTCTGGAGCCTGCTAAATCTCAATCCCGCAATAAAAACAAATAAATCATAAAGAGAGAAAGATCCTATCTTTTTGCCTGGGGTTGTAGTGGTCTCCTCGGGTAGAGTGAAGGTTGACCTTGGATTAAAACCATTAAATTGGCAGTTTTGAATTCTATGGTTGATACAATGTGTGTGTTCAAGCTCCGCAGCTAGGAGTATAGTCTCTATGAATGGGATACAAAGATCAAATAGAAGGATTCTGTACATGGGCCTACAATCCTTGGTGTTAATCATGTTATATTCCATATTTTTCTTTTCAATTAATCTACCAAGCAAAAAACTCTCAGAAGGGTTCAATCCACCAGTTCTAACCCTTGAAGGATAGCTTCCACCCTTTGGCCAAGGCAGATACCACTACAACCCTTCTGCCTAAAGGTGGGTGAGCCTTGAGCCTTAAGAGAACCTGCAAGCATAGCATGTTCAGCAATAGGTACTGACCTCTATGCTGATCAAGACAGGAAGTGAATTGCCTTTTGCAAATGCCATGAAGTCATCCAATGAGAAGAATTGTCCATCATTTTTATGTACAGGATTCCGGAACAAACCATAATCCAGGAAGGGGTTTGAGATAACCGCTGCAGTGAAAAGGAAATTTCAAAAAATCAAACAAGAGTAAAACAATACTTGTCCAAGACATAGCAATCTATTCAGGCATTTATTTGTATTTCAAGAACATAGAAGGATCCATGCATGTAGAAGTAATAACAAATACTGTACTAACACAATTATAACCTTTCTGAAGATCAAGCAAAGAGAAAGCTGAG